CCACTACTACTACTACTACCACCACTACCACTACCACTACTACTACTACTCCTCCTCCTCCTGCTGCGACCACTCTACTCCACTGCTACTGCTACTGCTACTACTGCCCCCACCAAAGGGCGACAAGTCAAAAACAATGCTGACGCTGTGTGTAGCGATGCCATCATAGAAGGCGATACCCATGACCTTAGCACACAGAAGGAGTTTTGACCGTCGCACGTCTGCTTCCATGTCCAAAAAGTCTGCTGCATTGTGAAAACACCCTTTAACATAAGTAAGGTTCAAAACGTGGAAAACGATAATACACTCACCAAATTGAAATGTGCAAGGCCCACATAACAAATAAACAGCGTCGCTCACTTGAAAAGTTGTAGTTGTATATGTTTCGTACCACGGCATCGACACTAGCGCCAGGTCGGCGGCTCCTGCTGCACGAGGGTGCAGGGACAGGCCTGACATGTTTTCTGCGTATCCGTCGACTGACGGAAATCGAGCAAGCCAAGTTGTGTTGTTGCCGTGGGGATAACGCGCTTGTGCTCCATAGAAAAGGATAACGCGACAAAATGGTGAGCGCACGGCATTTGCACTTGTCTTCAACATCCCGTTTTCCTTGTTTGCAAATTTACTGGTGGGTGCCCCTGGCAGTCGCCGTAATCCCAAGCAACCTCTCCGGACCAATATAGGCATATATAATCAGCGGCAATATGCTTTGGTTAAACGCGTTCCCGACCAGGAGCCGCTCTGGGCGCGCGTCCACGAGCAAGTCCGAACTGCGGAGGCGCAACGCAAAGCTGCAGGAGGCGGCAAATACATTGCATTGAGCCAACTCGGCCATTCTTTGTGTTGCAACAGTTTGGGCGTCAGAAGATGTTTTTCTCCTCTTCGAAAACAAAGCGCTTGCGGGACAGCTGGTCGCTTGTGCTTTGCACGACGTGGACGCGCTTGCCATCAGAGCAGTGGGGTTTCACCAGCAAGACGAAGAGGAGCACGAGGCGAGCATATGTGATGTTCTTAAAGGTTGTTTTCTTAAAATCACACCACCAGTGTGCCACCAGTAACACCCGCTTTCTAGAATGAAATCAGGGTTTGATTAGAATTTAATTAGCACTAGATTCGGATTAGAAGCAAATTAAAGTTCCAGAAGGGGTGGCATCAACATTAAAATGGAAATCAACATAGGAATTAAACTAAAATTGTAAAACATTAAAAAAACAGTCTAATTTGAAGTATATAGGAATTGAACTAGCTTAATCTACAAGTCGATTAAGAACCAACTGAAACAACAAAGTTCAAATTGAATGAAACAGACTAAACTGGAACTACATTCGAGAAATTTCATAGTAAATTAGACTGAAATAAATACCGGATTGAAATTAAACTAAGATTGAATCAACACTTCTTGTTTTTAATACAAAATGCAATAGAATGAAAATAGAATTGAAGTAGAAATGCTCAACCTGCAGCTCGATTAGAATTTCAAGTAATAATGATTTAGACTAACGAGAATTAGCCGTAAAACAACATTTGCAATAGAACTAAATTAGACATGAACTCAAATCCTGCTAGAAATGAATGAAAATCAACTTGGATATTGAAATGTATCTTAAACTAGAAATCAATTAAACTCAATCAATTTAGAAGTTAGAGAAGAAGTAAACTCAAAACTCAAAGTAGGAGTAAAATAGAAATCAATCAGGCTAAAATTCGCATTTCATATTTAAACTTAAGAACTCAATAGAATTAAAGTTTTACTTTTATGAATTCAGTTCAATCTTTGTTAAAAAATGAAATATTCCAAAAATTGTGAAACCTCGAAGAATTGTTTTAGCTAAATTTTAAGTCAATTAGAAATAACCGAAAGTTTGCCTGTTTTTTCAGTTCAACTCAAATTTAAACAGAATTCCAGTTAAGTATAATTGAACTAGACTTGCTTCACTTAGAACGCGGTTACAATTGAGTTGGGATTTAAAGTAGAATTGGGTGAGATGTAGAAGACAGAACTGGTATGCAAAAAGCTATCAAACACCATCAAGGCAAAACAAAAACAAAACTGCAGACCCGATGGCCAGAGGGTCAGACAGGAGAGAGGCCCCAATGGGGTCTGCACTTTTGTTTTTGTTTTTGAGGGAAAACAAACACAACTGCAGACCCCATGGCCAGAGAATTTTTTCATGTGCTTGTAAGATTGAAAATGAACAAAACCTGGAGAAAGCAACAAGAACAAAACTGCACACGTTATGGCTGAAGTTTTGGAATGGTTCATGGGGTCTGCAGTTTTGCTCTTTTGGTTTTCTCCAGAACTTCGAGAAACCAAAAAACAAACAGAACGGGTGTCCCTGAGAGTGCGGTTTTCCATTGATTTGCAGATGTTTTTTCTGGAAATTTTGCACCAGATAGAGGCAATGATTTGCAGATGTTTTTTCTGTAACTTTTGCAACAGATAGAGACATTTCAGATTGGACCAGATGTTTTGAGTATTCAGAAATACCAAAAAATACAATTTTCCAGAGGTTTGGGAATTTGGTGGTTCCAAAAATCCTGGGGTTTCCAAAAAACAAAAAAAACAAACAAACCAAAAAAAACAATTTTCCAGAGGTCTTTGCACTTGGGGCTTCTGCAGAAAGAGTTTTGAAATATTGTGTTTTTTTGTTTTTTGGTTTTTTGGAAACCCCAGGTTTTTTGGAACCACCAATTTCCCAAACCTCTGGAAATTTTGCACCAGATAGAGGCATTTCAGATATGACCAGATGCTTTGAGTATTCATAAATACAAAAGACTACACATTTCCAGAATGAAAACGCAGATGAAGAGATGCAAAATAATTTAGTAATAGGATATTTAAAAACAAGATTGAAGGACACAAAAAACAGGATAAAGTGGTTGATAGAGAAATAGATGAAGACAACTATATCAATGAACATTGATGTTTGAATCATTTCCATGGCTGTTGTGCCCACTGTGGAATAGAATCTTATATTGAAATGAAGCAAGGCAAATTATCAAAAAACTTCACAGCACAAAGACTAGACAATACACTGTGCCATCCTGTGGATAATTGCACTCCATACTGTAAGTATTGTAATTGTAGTGCTCACTGATTATTTTTGAAAATATGGAAGTAAAGCAACAACTTTAAGAGATGCAACAAAGATTCTGAAATAAAACTGTTTGATGTTGAATATTTTTTAGAAAAAATGTTGAGATAAATAAAAAACACAGAGGTCAGAACAGTTTTGTAGCACCTCATAATAATCATACCTACCAACTTGACAAATTGTTTTTTTAACCTGATGACATTGAAGCAACACAACAATTTAGAGCGGATTTAGTAATGACAGATGTTCTGAGTAAATATGCTGTGGTAGTGCCAATAAAGAGTAAAGCTCCACCTGACATAATTGCTGGAACTATGGAAGGCTTAACCCCGCCTGCCATAATTGCTGGAACTATGGAAGGCTTACACAAAATGGGAAAGAAGTGCAAACTTTTGTATACTGATGATGAAAGAGGTATAGCAAGTGCTGATGGTGAAGGCATTGAGGGCAAGAGGACATACAGTCTTCGCTGAAAGATTTTTAGGATATTAAAGGATAAACCATTCAAAAGAGTTGAAAATGATGAGAAGAAGGGAAAACAAAATATACAATGGACTGACTACATATTAGAAATAATGCTGACTTATAATAAAGATGTGCATAGTGCAACAGGACTAACACCAATGAAGCAAGGAAAGAGAAGAATGAGTTTAAAGCAAAATTGAATCTATCAGTGAAAGCAAGTAAAGAAAATATGTATCCAACACTAGAGGTGGGAGACAGGGTAAAAATAATGAGGAAGAAAGCAATTACAGAGAAAGAGAGAACAAGTCATTTTTTACAAGGTGAATATACAGTAGAAAACATTGCAACAAAATTAGGAAAACAGTATCAAACATTAGAATGATTTAATCGTCCATTATTCAGGCACAAATTGTTAAAAATATAGTTGATTTAACAAACATACATTTTAAAGGAAATCTATTTAAAGAACTATTATGTTATAACACTACTAAAAATCATAAAACAGCGCACTCTGACAAACACCCGGACTCAAAACAAAACTGCACACCCTTTGTCTGAAGTCTTGGGATGGTTGATGGGGTCTGCAGGTTTGATTTTGTTTGGGTTTTGTCACAGTGTTTGAAGTTTTGTTCTGTTTGAGGTTTTCTATCGTTTTTGTATGTTTTTTGTGAGTTGCATTGATTGCAAGCAGATGCTCACAGATGCTCACAGCTCACAGATGCTCACAAAGACCGCGTCTTGCGCACGCTGGTGGTAACGTGTTCTGAATATTTTGGGGTAGGGCAGGGATGGCCAACATTTGTTGCAGTAAATTTTTAGTTGTGGACATCATCTTTAGTTGTTTTGTGTCTGTGTAGCCGTCTGAAGGTCAGATATGTAAATCGTCCATGCAAACCCAACCAATGTGTGTTGTTCCTGTTGGGAAGGTCCGACCCTTTTAACCAACCTGTTTTCATTTTTTCAATCCCGGCTTGCAGATGAATGGACTGGCCATTGTTGCTAATCCTGAAAAAAAAAACACATCCCGCTGGTTGCTAGTAGCCCCGAAGTGAAGTTTGTCAGCCCCATCAGTTGTTGACTACCCATGATTCCATGATCTGATTACTCCCGAGATTCCGAGATATGACTTTGCCCCTCCAACCGCCTTTGTCAGCCCTGTTGAACACTGTTTCGGCCCATCGTTCTCGTCTAGTGATTTGTTTGGCGCTAATTACTAGGGGATGGACATGGCAAGCAGAGCCCCAAACCCATATATGGTTGTCACCAATGCCCATTCCCTATTTTGTCCAATCTTGACGTTTGTGTGTTGCGGGCTTCGTCATGTGTCCTTGTGTTTATTCGGCCTCCGATATTTTGTCGTGACTCAGTTCTTACCGGCTGAAACGAAGGATGAGGTTGGTCACGAGATGGGATAGATTGCATTGTTCAGGCATTGCCATCATGATGCACTATTACATCCAAAACTACTTGGAGTCTGCAGCAAAGGTCTGCAAAGAGAATGGTCAGTTGGTTCCTTGCCGTCGATTTGGTCTAGGTCCATTTTTTGGGGGAGGATGAGGATGTTTCAACAGTTTTCCTGTGGTTGTTTGTAATGTGAGCTCAATGATTGGTGGTCTGATTGCTTGGATTCCTAGCGGACCCGACCCTCTGATAATGAAACAACGTGCCAGAAGTAAGTCTGCTTGGCTGCTTGCTCGGTTGGAGTTCATTCATCCTACCCAGTCATTGGTTGGCCTTTCACAATACTTGGTCATTCGATAAGACAGAGGAGAAGAGTCCATAAGAGTCCCCGAAATGCCAATCAATACTTTTAGAACGTCAAAAGATCTGGAAAATGGAGGGCAGTCTTGGCAAAGGTTGCTGGAGGGACCTCTTTAAGACGGTCGCCATAACGAGCTTCAAACTTGTAGATCTATGTATGCACCTAAAATATTTGCGGGAAGGGTATGGACCATGGATAGTTTGTGTGTTTGCTTGTTTTTGTGTGCTTTGTTTTTTCTGAACTGAATTCTAGGGTATGGCCTTAGGATGTTAAGGCATAGGGAGAATCCTTTGGACAGAGCGCATCCAAGAAAGGTCCTGACATGCGAACTAACAGGCTTTGGGATTACATGAATGACCTACCAATAAGGTCTTGATGGTCGGGGAATAGCAGAAGTGGTATCCATGTTTGCATCAGCATATGTCGATGGATCCATGGCAGCCTAAAGGTCTCTCCCTTTGTCAACCGAGTTTGGTCCAATGGAAGCACTGTGCGCTGGGAACATTAGTTACATGGTCAACAAGTGCAGATGTGGCTGGCAGACAGCTCCAAAGGAGGATTGACGTCAGGTGAGCAGACGAAGCCGACTGAGAATCCTCAGTCGGCTTCGTCGCCAGAAGGGTACACCCTGACTCACTAACGGGTAAAGGGTATCAATAGCCCTGGGAAGACGATTCTTTGTAGACATCCATCCCATCTCAAGACAAAGACTTCCAAATTCCAGTTCCAGCACTCTTGGTTGGACAGTTGCCAGTTCCAGCCCTTGATTGCCCAAGGCCTTGGGCTTTTACCGAGGTTAGGCACAAGTGTGGAGGGATGAAGTTTTGTTGCCAAATCATCCTGCAACTCTCGCAGAGCCACTTCACATGGAAAGCACCTTACCATGAACTGGCCATGGAAACCACCAGGAATCATGCTTTTGCAAGTGTTTCCATGCTTTTGCAGATCTTCACTTTTCGGCTGATCTTTTTCGTCATGATATGTCATGGTGCGATCCACTGCGACCTGCACCTCTAGTGAGAACCTGAGGACCTGCACCTTCTCACGAACGCCCCAGCAATTCCACACATTTCGGCCCGGGAATCGTGCGGTTGCTCCGCTTCTTCAGGTTGTAGTGGTGACCTCGGCTCAATGTCTCAACTGGAACCTCTACAAGTGCAGCTCGGGTCCTGCGCGGGGGCTGCTTGCGTCAAATACGTCGGGCTCAACCACCGAGACGATCGGTTCGACGAAGATCGACCGATCGACCGATCGACCGAGCGCCCAAAATCATCGGTGGCCCTTGATTCTTCAGATCTTTCAGGGACTCCGTCACCGCACGAGATTCATCAGATGATGGAATTGTTGTTTTATTCCCACCTTGTTGAGGATCTTCTTGGTGTGGAACCTTCTCCAGATAGAAATCGGCATCTGGGGTTTTCAACCTCTCCGAGGGGTTCTTCATCAAGAGTAACCGTTATAATTTTATCCAATCGCAAGTTGGCAAAAGCCACAAACTTGGCAGTAACGGAACATTACGTGCTTCCACATCGAACCACAGAGCTGCACAGGGCATTTGCATATGTTTATAATGTGACCCTACGCGGTCGGCACCTGGAAAACACCGAACCTTCGACTTCGGTCGCTGGCGGCAAACCGATCGGCGAGTGAGAACTGGACACCGATCCTTGGTCTAACCGTGCATGAAACTGGGCCCATTTGCACTTCTCTTGTGGATCTGCCATGTTTTTCCGAGACAGAGACATTCTCACCCAAGCCGAACAACCTAAAACACCTGACGTTCAACAGAGAACAGAACAACCAAGCCGCCGGCCGCGCCGGTGTTCGTCGTTCGCGGCCGTTCGGTTGTTTGCTTCAAGTGAGGCAAGCCGACGGTCAACGACGAAGACGTGACCCCACAAGTCCGCTGGTTTGACGCTCGGCAGACGGTCCGCTGGTTCGACGGCGCCACTTGGAGGTGCTGCGAGAGTCCTTGGTGCGGAAATGATGCCGAGGCACCTCAGAACTCATGGAATGGAAGAAAAGTCGTGCAACGCAGACTCAAGAAGGGCCAACGTGGCCTGGTTCAGCTTCATCTCCGGCGAACGTTGTTGGTCCGGCCAAACCATGTGGTGTTGGGCTCCAGGACTTTTGTCCATCACCATAGATAGCACGTAATTATATACGTTGGAACCTCAGCTGCTGAGCTACATATCGGGTTACATGTGGGATTGTATTTGAATAGGATGGAATAGGGGGACCCCAAAACGGGTTCACTGGTCTATGTTCTTCTTCCAGAATGTCTGGCTGGAAGGTCAGTCACCCTATTTCATCTTTGTGATCAATGCAGCCATAGAATCACAAAATAGAATCATTAAGAACCATTAGGTGGAGGCCATCGCTTTTAGGTTCCATTTGCTAGGGGCTCTGAGCAATTGAACGCTGAGGATGTTGGCCCCTTTGAGCGCCATGGCTACCAGAGTCGCTTTGGCGATGGCCGTGACCGCTACGTGGAACAGCCAGTCTTCCACAGGCCGGCCTGGATGGTGGCGTCCGCAGCGGTGGGTGAAGAGTGCAAGCTTGCGTTGTAGATGGAAGCCGTTATATAATTCAAGCCACCCTTCGTCTTTCTCTTTCGATAATGAATGGCATGTGTCACCTGGGTTTAAGTTGAACTAGAAAATAACAAACGCTCCATTCAGATCTCACACCTGAGGGCGCGAGCACCAGAGGCTCGGTAGTAATGAATGGTATGGATGGTGGAGGCAGGTGAACTATATGATGTCGATTCATGTCTTTCATATTCTTTGACTTCCTTCACTTCATCACCTGACTCGGTAGCGGCCAGCTCTCTGAATTCTTAGGTCAAGTCAAAGCGAAGCTTAATGGATCAATTTGCACCCGTTTCAAAAGATTGGAACATACCTTAAGAATAAAAACCTACAAGTTCTGAACAAGGACCTCCGCTTTTCTTGGTTAATTGGTCAAAACCTTGGCTCTTCTGTCAGTGAAAGCCTTGGGTGTTCCAAGAATAGGGCCTTGTGAGGAAATGTTCATTAATTTTCTATGCAATCATGCCAAAACCATGTTTCTTTTCTATGGTGAACATCGTTTAAGAGGATAAACATGCATGTTTGAGGCTGTGGACAGCGAGGTTCGCTGAACACCCATGGCATGGCCCATGGCTTCTTCCCGTGGAGACCCGGTCTCGGAAAAACCTCGGCTTTTCGCAACCCGTAGAAAACTCGTAGAAACCCGTAGAACATCTATGGGTTCTGAAGGCGTGGCTAGAGGACGTCATTTCATCGCTTTGTAGTGAATCTCTGTGGCTGGCACGCTCATCAACATGTTGAAGACAAAATCGTCTCGTGCTATGTCAACAATGTGAACACCTTCACAAATCAAACCCTTGGTTTTCTCGCAAAACCTTTTTTTTACATGGGACCTACATGTTGATCGGTTTTTGTTTCTTCAGGTAGACTCAATTTTGGTTCTTATTTTGGTTCTTCGCCAGCTGCTTCCAGCGGTGGACAACCCTACACCACCTAATATATAGGTCTCCATTTGGGCACCCTACTAGTAGCGTCCTTGCTCCTAGTAGCGATGCCCTTTGTTCCTAGTAG